TACTTTGAAAATTAATATTTTATTTTATAAAAATATAAAAAATATATTTTTTTAAGACTTAAATGATGTCTAGGACTCAAATATATGGTATTTTAGTATAAAAGATCTAAAACTTAAAGAATTAATTAATATTTATTATATTATATATATTTTTTAAAAATAAATTTTTTATTCCGGTATTCGGGCCTATTCGAATCGAGTATAAAAAAACACCTTGTTTTTTAAGCCTGACCTTAAAATTTTCGGGCTAATTCAGGCTAGCCCGTCGAGCTTGGCCCGAATTACCGACTCTCATGGCCTGGAGTCTCACATCCTTGGAGAAAATGGGGGTTTTTTTTTTAAAAAAAAATAATCATAATCTTTAGCTGTTGTTATTTTATTAAGTTTTGTTTTCAATTTTTATAATTTTTTAATATTTTTAATCTTTATAATTTTAAAAAAATTGAAATGATGATTTTGTATTTAATTCACATAGTTTTTATTTTTTAATTATTTTTAGTTTCTATAAAGATTGAAACACTAAAAAAATATTAAAGACTTAAAAAATTCAATAAAATTACAGAAATTAAAGATTATATTTTTTTATTTTTTTTAACATGGGAAGTAGATTTTCTCCGTCCTTGTATATAAAATATTTAGGAATTAAAAATGGAGGAAAGAGAAATACTTAGATGAACAGAATACACTACATTATTTATAATCTGTTCAATTAAAATATTTTAATTAATCTAAATAAAATTTTATGTGATGTTTTTAATTAATTTTATTCTTATAATAGAATATAAATTTAATTTTTTACTTTTTCTCTCTCTATTTTTATTAATATCAAAATTAATTTATATTTAATATTATGCAAATGTTATATTTTTATTTAACAGAATATAAATAATGTGACGCACTCAATCTACTTAACAATTTTCATGCAAGTTTTTTGTTTTTTATATACCCACATTTTTTAAATAATAAAATAAGGAAAAATTGCCCATAATGCATATGCATTTGGGAACAAAGGGACGTGACTGGTGGAGTGTCACCATCGGATGGGGGGGCTTGGAGCCTGAAGTCTGATGGACTTATATAAATTTTTTTATGAAATATAAAACATTTTTTTTAAAAATAATATTTCTTTCATTTTAAATTATATGGTATTTTTAAAAGAGTTTTTATCCTAAAATATAAAATACTTTGAATTTAATAAGATTTTATTAAATGTATAATTTTAATATTATCTTTTATCTCTTTATAATTAATTTCCTTCCCTATCATTTTTAATTTATTAAATTATAAGTATTTTAAAAAAATTATTTTTATTTTAAAAAGATAAAATTGTTAAGTATATTTAATAAAATTAATTAATATATAAAATTTTATTTAAAAATATTTTATAATTTGAGATGGATGAAATAATAAAATGTATTTTCTCCGTTAAAAAATATAAGGTATTTTGAGGAATTAAATGTTAAAAAATGTAAGATATTTTTAATCTTTTAAAATATAATCATCACTTTTTTTAAAAAGTACTTCTATTAATAAATAACTATATTTATTATAAAATATTTAATAAAAATTAATTTAAAAATAAATAATTATTTTATTGTAAGATAAAATTTAATTGAAAATAATTTATATTTTATAAAGAGAAAGTATATAATTTCTAACTTTAAAAGACTGACGCAGGCGGCAGGATTGAACCAGAAGAAAACAAAGGAGGTAATAAAAGGAAATGTTTGCAGAAAAAATTAAAAGCAGCGCGAGGCTCCCTATTGCCTATTGTGACCATGCATGTTTAACTTTCTTGTACCATGCACCTTTTGGATGTGGTCCTTGTCTGTTCTAAGCTGCTCCGTTTCGATTGCTTATAGGCTGCCCTAACCGCCTCGTTTATAGCACATTTTCTATCGCAAACATTTCAATTTAAAAAAAAATCTGACATCCCTCTCAAGCACATAATATTCCCTGAAGATCCCCTTCTCCATCATTCACGGATCTAGTACATACTTTTAGTAATTTACAGTATTTGCGTTTAATAGGATGAAGATTTACTCTCTGCATCTGCCCCGATCCAAAATCAATCCCATCATCCAACAACTTCCACAAAAAGAAAACTCAATCACACAGTATTTGGTTCTCATAATTGGACGAATGTGACTGTGCCATAGTCCATAAGATACACGGACTGCACGCATCCTAACAAAAAACTATTGTTAATGTATTCATATGAAATAAAATATAAGAATGACAACATTGAAAAATGACAGATAAAAAATTTTCATTATTAATTTTACAGACAACTACCATCACTGGTTTTATACGTGAGTCACGTTTTAGATGACATCAATGAGTATTTTTCCAAGTCATCTCACAATTTTCTATGACTAAAGTAAAGGTTGCACATGAGTAAGAAAATATTTATAAATATGATGCGCTCCCTCAAATTTTTATTGTAAAGCAAGTTTTGGAAAAGATTGATGGTACTTGATATAAAATACTTAATAGAATATTAAATATATTTTTTCAACATTACCTCTGTTTACACTTGAAAATTTTTCATTTAAACATGGGTTAAATTGAAGGTTTATTTTTTTAAATAAAGTTAATAATTTAATCACATTTTGTTAGCTCCAACAAGGTAATTAAAAGTGCTTTATAATAGTTGAGAGAGTACTTAGCAGGAGTAAATTGAATATTTTTATTTTTTAAATAATGTTGATAATTTGATTACCTCTCTTATTTGATAAGTTAAAATGACTTATATAATTATTGAAAAAAAAATTTGAATCGTTTAAAAAGACTATGCATACCTTGTCCAATACGCACCAACTTTAAATGACACGCTCCTTTCCTTATATGAGTGACAGTTTTTCAATATCTCCAACCTCACTTGAGCCCGGAAATATCTTAGATTTAGTCCGTCCAAAATATAAATAGCTCTGAACAATAATTTGCATCCCAATAAAATAATTATTCTCATGAAAATATATAGTATTATTTTATCCTTTTGCCTTTAATTCTAATTTATAATGAGTGAGAAGAAGGATGTAAACTCGCTGATACAAGAATCTGTGTTAATAAATACAAATAATGAAATCAAAACAAATTTTAAATACTAAGTTGTTTATATTCTAGACTATGACTGATTGAGAGAAAAAGCTAATATTTTATATAAGAGGAAATATATTAATATTAAATAAACAAAGATATGAATAATTAAAAAGTCATTAAAAAACATTAACAAAAATATAAAAAAGGACCAAAAATACCAGCAAAAAAATTAATTAAGATATAAAAAATAAAGAAATTCCTATATCTTATCGGTGAGAGTTGTAAAATACCTCACCCTCGTAGTATATGAAAGTTTAGGATGGAATAGAATTGAGGGTTCTTATTGTGCTGGAATTGAGTGTAATGGATAGCTCAATTTTTTAGATTTCATTGGACTGCTATTGGATAATTATGATTAAATCAATGAAATAAAATTAATTATAATCATATTTTTTTTCTTATTTTAGAGTAGAAAGAGTGGGAGGGTGGTAAAAATGAAGATAATTTTACATCAGTGTTATTTGTTTAAACTCATCCTAGGAATGAATTGAAGATCGCGTCGTTCATCAATGGCTGCAGCCACTTCCCTTCGTTGCATTCCACGTTCGAAAAAACTCGGAAACACTGCCTCGTGAAAAGCAACATTTCAAATCCCAAAACATACATGCGTTGTCTACGCCAGGTGGAGAGGGATGCGTTCGATATGATGTGACTGGATCGCCCATCTTTCCGAAGGATGGGCTTGAGGATGGGGAATCCCACTTTTTATATTGCTTCATCTTTCATCATGGCAATGACAAGTTTTATTTGGGATTTCTGTAACTGGTATGTTTTTTCGGTCAACTTTAGTTTGAATTACATTTACCAAAGATACACCCCCACCCCACGCTCATACGTTCTTCTCTTTTGATGGTCAATTGCGTTCTTCCCTTTTATCGTTACTTCCTCCCATCAGCGACTGTTCTGGACTCCTTCACGTGGAATCCTTGACCGCCCTCGTTTTGGAATATATTCCCCACATACCCATATATTTATATATACATATATACTACTAACTACATAGCCTGAAAATTGTGTGATCCGCACTGGAGTCACTGCGCACAGTCAAGTTCATTTCTTGCAAGAATTAACCAGACTTCCCAGGAAGATATCCATTTATATCATTCTTCACCGGAGGCAAGCCAGCCTTCGTTGAAACAATGAGCACAGGGGACAAGAAAAACCAATCTAGTGAGTGCACAAAGAATTTCTCCAACACGTAACTTTAAATGTGTGCTTGATTGGGAGGAAGGTTAAAATTTTTTCTCCCCTCCTCTCCAAAGCCTCCCTTTCAAATTGTGAGGAGCTCTCCTCCCCCTCCTTTCCCTCCTCTCCCCTCACCTCCCCTTTCATTTTCTGTCCTTGAACCAAACATATCTTAAAATTTTGTTTCTAAGCCCAAAGCTTATCCCTCTCATTTCCTGGTCCGGTAATGGTCGGATTCCCATCTGAGTTGACCAACAGTGCAACAATGATAGACCCCATCTGGTCCTATTACAAGGTCCCCGTTTTCAGCCTCGCGAGCCTTGTATTATACTGCAAGTTGTGTCATTGAGTGATCATACTTTGTTTAATTTGATCCTTGTTTAACAAACGAGGTTCGCCTAACAGTTGGTGGTAGTTATATACTCAAATTCTTCAGATCAGTCAAACAATACTATGGGACGCACACAATCAAAATCATTATGCTGGCCACTAGGAACCCGATATTCCACTGATGTTTGCTTACCATGAAAGAGGACGTCATTGGCGCCGTGCCTCCCATGGGTCCTCCCTTGCTTCCAATCATGACCCCAAAATCCGTCAGCTTCCCTTTTAAACTTGTCCCATCATTATAGTAATTCTTTTTGCTTCCGAGTGTTCGCGTGCGTTTGTATTAGTATGTCAGGCAAGAAACAGAGAACATCATCATGAAGAACTTATAGTACAAACGGAACCAAACAGACTTCTATTAACAGAACGACCTCTGCATATTGTAACGGCATTGTTTCAACAGCAGAGATTACACAGCTTCAAGGGAGCGAGTTTCAAAACCGTCAGATTGAGTACACAATCACGGTGCTAATATATGACAGGGGAAGAAAGACTCGCCATTCTAATTGGCCTTCTCCGCTATGCTTTTTTGTGGTTTCTGGTTAGTACTGATTAGCGATGCTACTGGATCAATCAGAGTCATACAGTGATGGTGGGACAAGGAGCGGCCATGGCGAGCAGCTTCTTCTCTTTGATTGCTGGATCCTGAAGCAGCAGAACCTTGTCCTTCTCTCTAACCCCAACCATGTGAAGGTGTTCTTCATCGTCTCTCTCTTTTCCTCTGAACAAAAGCCTCTGTTCTCCGGGCTCCAAGCTTGTTACCAGTGACAATACCATCTTCAGTTCCCCTGCACACCCATTAATTGATTCACACTCGAGCACCCGCGGAGCACTATCTCTAATTCCTGAAATTAATAACAGCGGATAATTCTAATGGCTGAAACTTACCGAAAGTTGAAGTGGATTGAATGGAAATGTCATGCCAGTGCGACAGAGCTGAGACTCTGATGGTGATAAGCCCATCTGCTGCATGTTGGTCAGCGTCCCTTTTCTGAACAAGCATGCCGCCGGGCCGAAGTTCCCATTTGATGTCAGAGATGCTTCTGGAGTCCTTTTTCGGGGGCGGTGCTTTGCCTCCATGGGCGAGCTTGGAGAAGCTTCTGCTGAATCTGTTGGACCTGAAGTTGATCATCTTCTGTTGGGTTTGGGTATGTGAGAATTGTGCGGTTAGGGTGAGGGAGGTTGAATGCAGTTGGGGAAGTTATATAGTGAAGGAGAAGGACGAAGACGACACGGAACAAGAAAACGAGGAAGGTGGGGCAGCACTTGGGGATTTTTGAGCTGATTTGGGGAATATGGGAGCGGCACATGGGGAACACGCATGCTTAATCTGCGGGCCTAACCAAATTTCTATCTACATTATATTAAATTAAGGGTAAATTACTCGTAATTCTCACCTTCAACAGATTATTTTTTGTTCTTAATATAAATTATTGGAAGAATTTCGGTTAAAAATCACAATAGAATTTAATTTTAGATAGGTTTAAAAAAATTTTAAAATTTTAATTCAGTCTGAAAGAAAAAAATTAAAAAAATTTTAACAGTGAAGAGATCAATATATCTTTTATTTATTATGTAAAATCATTAGTTATTAATTTTTTTGCTGTATTTATTAATTTATCAATATCATTTATAAATTTATCCTTTTGTCAAACAATCACTGATGTTAGTTATTAATTTATTATTAATTTATACAATTGAAGTTAGTAGATTATAAGATCTAATAATAATTTACAATTGATGTTAGTAAATTAACAATTAAAGTTAATAATTTAACAATTGATATTATTATTTATGATTAAAAAATTGATATCAAGTTTTATATGATTATTGACATTTTAACTCATATTCGTAAACTAAAAAGTGAAATAAAAAAATTAATTAGTAATTTCATATAATAAGTGAAGGGTAGTTTCATCTTTTCACCTTTAAAATTCTTTGACCTTTTTCTCCTAAAACCAAAGTGAAATTTCAAAAAATTTTGAGTTCACATAAAATTGGATCTCTGTAGTAGTTCTTAACTGAAATTCTCCCTAAATTATTTTGCTAAAGTTTGTGTAGCATTAATTATTTTAAGTTTATGGTATTTATTAGGGGTGAAAATGGATATCAAAACAACTATTAAATAGTTTTAGTGATGTATCGCGGCATGTATTTTCATAAATTTATTTTATTTTAAAATACTACTTTCTCTATTTTAAATTATAAGATATTTTTTAAATAAAATTTTACATATCATTAAATTTTATTAAATACACTCAATAATTTTATCTTTTTCAAATAAAAATATAAATTTTTAAAAATATCCATCATTTAATATATTTAAAAGAGAAGAGATAAAAATTAATTATATAGAGAGAGAAAAGATAATGTGAAAATTTATGCATTTAATAAAAATTTAATCTACTTAAAGTATTTTATATTTTAAGATAAAAAATTTCTTAAAAAGTATTCTATAATTTAAAATGAGGGGAGTATAAGGGATGTTATAATATTTTTGAACACTGATTGAACAATTTTATCTTTATTATATCGAAAGGGGAAAGGATATCACTCCTTTTTTTTTCCTATCTCTATAAAGATTCTTTTGTCATTAATATAAAGTATTCAATGTGGTGGTAATTATATTTTTTTAATATTTTTCCTGTTTAAGCTCAATCATTATGAAAGGGAGTGTAATTTAAATTTGAAAAAAATTAAATAAATAGAGATAGGATTAACATTTTATTATATTTTTAAATAAAGTTAATGATTTAATTATTTTTCTTTAGTTTTGATGAGAGGGTTAGACATGACTTGTAATATGGACATGGGAGAGTAATTATCTGATTTTTCACCATCGTGATATTAATTTTGATGTTATTAGAAACAATCAGAAAAATATTGTGGTTTTGATGTTCTATAAACTAAATAATTGATATACAAAATTTTATTAAAAACGCCTTATACACGAGGGGAGTGGGGGCAACTAATTCTTCTTGATTATTGTGAGCTAGTCATGGGTGACTTGTAATTAGAATTACAGGGCGTACCCTCTCAGCTTCTAAATACATGATGAAATAACTAACTCATGTAGTTTTGTAAAGTTAGTTGAGTGTAATAATTATATTTAAAAGTAAAAAAATGCACTAATTACCCCTGCAATTAATTAAATAAATTTGTCCAGTGAAAATAAATATTACTTTTATAATGGACAATTTAAGAAAAATGTAATAAATATTAATTTTATTTATAAATAAAAACAAAGGGAAGTTTCTTTTTTTATTCGAAGGTTCAATAGTATGATTAAAAAATTGATTAAGCTTATTATTTGTCATTATTGTGCAAAAATGTGTGTCACCTTCTCTAAAATGCCTCTCTTTAATGGCGCTATTAAGTCAATCGGTGTTGGGACCTGATGGAGCACTGTTAAGACATAAACAGGCCTAAATAATCCATTTTATTGTTTTTCAGGCTCTTGTTTTCCTGGCGATTTTTCTTTTAACCTTGTTAGTTTGGATGATCCGGGCAGACATAACATCGAAGACTGATGACATTTGCAAAGGGAGATTTGAAATAAAACTCTTCCGTTCTTAAGCGTAATTATTTAATATGTTAAATTTTTTTTCAACCACAAAGAGAGTCAATTTTATTAATATAAAAAAAATAAATACATATACTAATAATCGAAGTAAAAAAAAAACACTCAAAAAAAGTTAAGAGCAAAGACACGAAGTCCATTTAATATGTTAATTTGGTTACTTTTTTATTTGTCTGACGAAAGTTGAGATTTATACGTAATTCAACACTCCGTTTCCACCAAATATTGGCTGCCACGTAAACTGCTTTATTTTTCTTGAAAAGAACCACATGCATGCGCAGGGTTTTCAAAGAATTTAATCAGTTAATGTAGATCCTAAATTTAAAATAAAAATCATCAGAGAGAGTATGAGCTCGATTTTTGTTAATACCGCTTCACAGTATAATAAATATTTCGATTGTTCTGGCTCAGCGACATTAAACAATTGTTTGACTGCATTAAACTCGTGTGTTAGCTAAACAACGAATAAATTTAAGACGGGGCATTATTCGTCTGCATAAATATCAATTAATTAATTTCTTCTCTGGAATAAAATCATTTCATTGATCATAACTTCTGTCTTTTGCCTTCATTAAAATATATATATATATATATATATATATATATATATATATAAAATGAAAGATGCGTAGGCTAAACAATTCAAGGCCTAGTGACCTTTCGTTTGCGACAGAGATACCAATGCAAGTAGCTTTGCCTGGACAACCTTTTTAGATCCTCTTCACGTATACAAGGACAAGTCAAGATATGAAATCAACGGTTTAATTTAAGGAAAACTTAATTATTAAATTACTGTAATTTTAATTTAGTTGTAATTTAATTTTTAAATTTTGACTCATTTTTTAAAATTTTGATTCCATTGTAAATCAATTCTTAAATTTTGTTTTTTATAATTTAATTTCTGAAGTTTCAATCTCTTAAATATTGATCTTTATATTTTAAAAAATAAAACAATAAAGATTAAAAATATTTTAAAATGTACTACTAATATCTTAAATTACTAAACTCTTTTAATATTTATAAATATTAAAATTTTAAAATATTTTTAATTTTTATAATTTTATTTTTTAAAATATAAGGACCAATATTTAAAAGGTTGAAATTTTAGAGACTAAATTCGAAGAGGCAAAGTTCAGGGATTAATTTACAATTAAGTCAAAACTTTAAAAATTAAGTTATAATAAGTCAAAATTTAAGAACTGAATTACAGCTAAATAAAAAATATAAAAATTAAATAATTATTTTTTTAATTTAATTATACCAATTTATTCACGAAACAAAAGCCATTAAATGAAACACTAAAACCGGTGGATTGAAGTACTTCCTCTAATTTTTTTTATGTTTTTTTTTGTAGGTTGCATATTTTAGGCTTTCTTTTTGGTGAGTTTTTTTAGGCTGCATTCCTTCCATTTAAAAATATAAAATATTTTTAATTAAATCTTATTCATAATAAAGTAATTATTTATCTTCAAACTAATCTTATATTTTCATATTAATCCCTATTTAATAGGTATTTTACCCTAAAATAAATATAAAAAGATTTATTCAATAGAGGTACTTTTTTAAAAAGTAAATAATCATACATTGAAAGAATAAAATATTTTATATTTTTAAATATCAAACTTCTAAAAAAATATTTTATATTTTTTAACAAAGGGAGTAATTTTTAAGTTTTTTTCACTTTGACTATTAGTATTTGTACTTTTTTTATAATTAATAAAAAGGATTTTGTTTTGGCAACAAATGTACTTCCGCTAATACTTTGTCTGAATCATAATATAAAATATTTTTTAAATTTAAAATATAGGATATTAAGTAATTTTTATAATTGATTCTTCAACTATACTCACACCTCATTTATTACTCTTTTTTTAAAAATAATGCATTAAAATTTTAATTGTTATTATTAAGGCACTTATATAAAATATTTAATGAGGGTATAATTAAAAAGATGTAATTTTCTAAATAAATTTAAGTTTTAACTTATGTTTTTTAAGAATTGTGAATTAGTTACTAATACCTTATATTGTGGTTTGGAGAGAGTACTATTTATAGGTCACTTTCATCATATTTAACTGGAATCAAGAAAACTATTAAATCTCATCTACCTTGTTTTAAAATTTAATAAATTTCTACCTCCATCTCTTGATAAAGACAAAAAAAATTATTTTTACTTCCTCTGTTCCAAAATATGAGCAATTTTTTTTAAAAAATTCACATATTAATAAAATTCTCATTTTCATGAAAATATATATCATTTTTTTTATTTCTAATTCGTATACTAATATATTACATGATGAGTAAGATATAAATTTATAAAAAGACCTAGGTTAACAAATAAAAGGACCGAAATAAGATTTTTTTTTCATGTGATAGTTTGCTTATGTTTTGAATTGAGATTAATTAAGAAAAATATTTATATTTTGAACTGAAGGGAGTGGTAATTTTTCATAACTTTTAATAAAGGTAAAAAGATAAAGAAAAATATAAACCGAGCAAAATTAATTCCCTCTCCCTACTCTATAAATAAGATTGGAGGAGTATGTAGTCGTTGAATACTCCATCTGATCATTTACATAATTCATCTTTCGCTCCTTCACTTAAACAGAATAATTAAGTCACTACCTCACTCAGAACTAGAAGGATGTTTTGCACCCGCCTCATAGGAAATGTTACAAAACTGGCATGACTTAAAAAAATGAAATGGATGCTAGTCATCCAGAAAACAATCCGAAACAAGGAATGGGAAAATGATGGTAACCAAGGAACCTTGACGTTGACGGGGTTACTATTAATTTCATAATGAAAGCGTTTACTTAGTGCAAGGGCAGTTGGTCAGTCCTTATATGAGGTACCAACCCCCCCACGTGAAGGCTCAACCAGAAAGGGGTTGGAGAGAACAAATGAACCAGAACGAGAGGGAAGATCAAATATGCACGTACGAGTCTTGAAATAATACTACTGAGAATTAATAACACGCAATTTGTGCCTTTATTACTTATTGGTTTCTAAGACACAGACCGCATGACGTGGCAACCCCACATGGGCATATGGAAAATAAGTGCGACATCCTCCATAATCATTCGGATTTTGTTCTCAATCTTGGCATGGCCACACATTATCTACTTTTCTTTACATGAATCCACCCTCCCTACTTGCCTCGACCCCTTCTTCTACTTTTTTCCCCCTCACGTTATAGCCCAAAATGTTGTGCTCCAGGTTCACATGTTCTGTTTTGTAATATTGCCGGGGAATCCAACAATAATTTGCATGCTCGCTTGGTTGGTTTGATCCCCGATGATATCTAATTAGATACCCATTTTGTAATTATCACACAAAGCGGATACCAAAAGCCAGTGTTTGTGTTTTGTCACTTTAAAATTTAAAATGGTATTCTGGGACATGCACGTATCTCCAGCTATTATTTATGCACATGTCACCCTTTTGTAGTTTTGCTCCTCACCAGAATCCCTTATATATATATATATATATATCGTCAACTTGTTCTAAATCTCTTCAAATCTCTTTCTCACGCCTGGAACATGCATTTTATTATTCGTTGCAGATTTAATTGGGAAAAATTCTCTTTTAACCCTATATTAATCATATTACTTTTAATAAAAGAACTACCTGCAACATTTTTTTGTTACTTTTTCCATCCTAATTTATAAAACAGTCTTGGAGAAATTTAATATCTCAAAATATAAAATATTTTAATAAAAATAAAATCTCATTACTTATCAGTAATGTTTTTTTCAATATTATTCTTTCTATTATATTCTCCCTCTGTTTAATTTTTTTTTATAAATAGAGTATTAAATGAAAGATATTTTTAAATATTTATATTTATATTTTGAAAAAAGAAAACTATAAATTTTTTGGCGTGTGTGATTTTCATAGTTGTCAAACTCTCGAGTTAACCCTACGAGTTTAATATTTTTATATTTTTAGCTTAATAAATCGTGTCAACTTACTTATAAACTCAGACTAGATACAAGCTCGATTAAACTTGTGAGTTTATCGTTTTAAAGTTTCTAACTTACAAAATTGTGTCAACTAATTTATAAATTCAAACTAGATGTAACATTAATTAAACTTGTTAAGCTCATTAATTTTTTTAGTTGGGCGAATTAAGTATGTATTATAAAGAATTCAGTTCATAAACGTTATAAGACCTAGTCTAAAAAAGAAAAAAACTTGAAGTCCAAAAACTAAAATTAGTAAAAAATTAAAAATAAGTTCCCCTATTTAAAGATTTTTATGTTATGTATATGATAATTTATTAATATAGATGGGTTTAATTTCAATGACTTATATTTTTAATATATTTAAATTAAATTATAATTATATTTTAATAGTTATTTATTAATATAAGTAAATTCTTACGAGTTTACGATATGAGTTTATAATACGAATTTATATTTTTATTATGAATTTTCTTAAATTCATAAGTTTAATAACTTTGATGATTTTGTTTAAAATTATCTTGTAAATTGGGATGTGGGGAGTATTAAATACCTTAATTAATACAATATATATGTATAAATAAAAATCAAATATACCTAAATTATCTTTTGGTAAGATCTACTCTAGTTAGTATTACACCTTGATTAAAATAAAGTTTATATTAATGATTGCCCTGTCCCTATCAAACACCTGACGTAAACATTGGATTTTGCTAAACTAGAAAATCTAGTGGTTAACCTAAATTTGACGTTTCCATTATGACTTCCTTATGCTTTCAACGTCTTCGAACTGTCCATTAAATTCGTACAATTCCTGTTTTTCTTTTACGAGCAGGATGCTATTTTTTCATGAATAAATTACGAGATGATAAATTGGAGAAAGGCAGCGCCACTTTGGTGATAATTACAACAGAGCATGAGAATAAAATGATACATTGCCAGGCACTTTAGGCAGCTTATCAAATTAACTAATTCATTCATTAAAGATGCCACTCGGCCCAATTGGCCCATCGGCCTGCAATAATTTTGCGCGCATCTTTCTGATTTGATTCTTTGATTCCCTAATATTATAAGCACCAGTGTTCGTTTTTATTGGCGTGTTTGATCATCGATACATTCTTATATATACATGTTCCTCTGTATTTAATTTGGATGGTTTTTTGAATCTTATTTACTGCTCATTGGCATTTTTCTATTAAAAAAATTTTATTTGAGACATGATCAAACGTTAAATATGGACATATCTTTTATTAAGGATTTAAATATCGGTTCGTTACGTCGGTAGGGATTAACTTCTTTCACTAGATTCAGACCCATTAGTATTTTATGAATTTATTATTGTTATATTTCGTCAATAACTTGTTCTAATCGATCATTCATGCACCGAAGATTTAGCACCAAACAAATTAAATAAACAAAACATTCGCATATGAAGAACCGTCCTTCCCCTGTCGTTCCTTCCATATGTTTTTCAATATATTGAAGAATAATTACTCACTCTCTCATGTCCTTAATATTAAATGAAGTTAGTCAATTTTACGTCTTTTAAAAAATGATAATTACATTCTTAAAGTTATTGAAAAATATATAATTTGTTTAATTTCATCATTCTTTGCAATTAATAATTATAATAAATTGTATTCTAAAAATTCAAATGATAATAAATAAATGAGAATAAAATTGAAAAAAAAAACAGCATCATGTACTCTAGCTTCAGGACCAACAAAATTTCAATTTTTGTGTTGGACAGTGAGTAACTTTTGGATCAGTGATTCAGTTCTGTAATCTACTCTTGACCAGTAAAAGGAACAAGGCAAAACAGAAGCCAGCAAACCACGCGAATTCCGTCTATCGAGTGGCGATCAACAGACAACAGAAGTCAGAGGGAATCAGTCTTCCAAAAATCTCATATTCTCTGCGAATGTGTCAGGGCTTCAAAGAAAGAATTGAATCCAAAAGAACAAGCTAAAATTACCAAGAATTAAATCAGAGCCAAGAAATCTACAAATCATGCTTATGACAATTTATAAACATATTTGGGATGAATTTTGTCGAAAAAATTTACTCTAGCTTGAAATAACGATGCCAAAACCTAGATTGACAGGCTGTTCAGTTTCAGTGCTATTCTTCTCAAAGTTGGGTGTTACTGTATAAAATTTTGTTAACTAAATTGATTGCACCATGTCATTATAATCTATTTAATTAAAATAATTTAAGTCATTTAAATAAAATCTTATTACGTGACATTATTTTAATTAATTTTATTCTCATAATAAAATGCGTAATTAATTTATTGCATTTTTTCTCGCTATGATCATTGATATTTAAATTAATTTATATTTAATACCACATGAATATCATGTGTTTTTATAGAATAGATCACAAATGAAGTATCACACTCAATTTACCTAAAAATTTTTCATTTCTGTGTTCTTACAAGTTCATATATATTTAATTTGACTGTATATATATATATATGGGGGCACGCAGCATACACGCACAATATCTTTACAAGCAATTTTGCTTATAATTGTAAGAAAATGTGCTTTCTTTTATAACAAGCCAAGGGCAACATATATAATTGGGTGAAGAAGTTAATACGAAGGAAGTCATTATCCGTTTCCCTCCCACAGCAGACCAAATATAAGAAAAATGATGGGGGCAAACAGGGGTTTCAACTTTCAACTTCAAATTGTGAGAGACATTAGTGTTTGTTTGAGGGGTAATTGAAACATTCTCCTCACTCTCCAGCTCCATGGCTCATATGAAGTTCATGTTCAAGTGGTGTCCCTCGTTATGCATCCCTGGGTCCCCAATGCCAATTCGGTTAAGAATTTTAGAAACAGCAAAACCACTTGTTCTACAGAGTTAAAACCAGAAGGAATCAATAAGTTGAGCCAGATATGTTAACAAGAGCTATGAGTTATGAGTATGAGCATGACAAACCCACAAGAGAAACATCTGTACATATGAACCATGATTAGTATTGTGGTTTGTGGGAAAGAAGTTTACCGTTAAATCTGGGGAACTATTTGGTTTATAACCGTTGTTGGCGTGAGATGGCCCGTTCCCACCAGCAGCACCGCCATTGCCGCCCTTCTTCTCGTCTCTCGCTTTACTGAATATCACTGTGAATCCTTCTGCAGAAGCAGGATCATTCACATCCCACTCTCCAAATTTTGGCAGTGGTCGGCCTTTGTCTTCCTGCACTTCAAAACTACGTTTGAAAACCATAACCATGCTGCGCGCGCGCTCATACTGTAAGCCATATTGGATGTTTATCTCTTAATTTCCAATTATTGGTGTAAGTTAATCAGAAGCATTATTGATTCCTTGATACATTGATCACTTTCAGCAGCGAACATTGCTTTTCTAGCTTCGCTTGTCCATTTGGCAACTCTTTTGCATCGCTTGAACCAGTCAATAGAGATATTCTTTAATTATTAATTTTCTTCTGGATGAATTTTCTAGTTTTCCTAGTTGTTATTAGCAAAAAAGAATTACGCTCGTGTTAGATTCGGGGCAGTAGGATTTGGGGAAAGAATGATAAATGGGGAACAATCCCTGACATATTTCGCTTAGGGCTGATGCGGCTTGTCATATCAAATGAACCCAACATGAAGAAAGCAATTCAAGCTATTTGACTTTCTATTGCCACGAGAATGATTGAAGAGCAAGGAAATTAAAGCTATAACGGAATTGACCGTGACTTATCAATATTCACATGTAACATTTTTATATCATGTTTAGCTCATATTTTTGATAATTCAAATGGGAGTAACAGAATGTAAAGCGCAATGAAATTGAATTGTAGAAGTGGCGTTCACAACGGGATGTGCCAAAAATAAAAGCTAATCAGAGAAGAGGCACTTGATAATGAAGAGGGTGATGGAGAATAATGGAAGGTGCATTAAAAACAAAGCGATGCAGAGAGAGAGAGGTATAATTACCGAAGCCATTGGTGAATATAAATATCAAAGACCGTCGTATTGCTGCATCGGCAGAGGGAAGGGGAAGATGGTGCAGTTGCGGGGTGGGGGACGAAAAGGGAGGGAGGGGAACGAGTCGATAGAGACGGGGAAAGCGGGCGCGGGCGTTGAAGCAAGATCGGCAAAAATATCGGCCCTTCAGCCTAAAAGGGTCCTCAATTTATTATTTTTTAATAAATGAATATTTAAATTTTATAATTTTAGATTGATTGTAATTTAATAATTAAGTTTGGGTTTGAATGTATAATCTTCGTCACGAGTTTGAAGTAGTTACACAGGACCTCTTATTTTCAAAAAATTAAAATGAACTTTTTTAATATTTTAATTTTTTTATATCAGATTTTCCTACTATTATTTTTTAGCCATTTTACTAATAAAAATTATCATATTATATTAAAAAAAAATACGCAACAGTTTATGGGGCATCCAAAGTAGGCTAGTAATAACAAAAAAAAAATACATGGATAAAATTTTTAGAATATCATTATTAACTTATATTGAATGCAACATAAGTTATTAGTGTCTATTTTAACGTGATATAATAACTTCTATTAGGTTTAAAAGTTACTTTTTTTCGTTAAAAAATGTAAGGTATTTTTTGAGAAATTAAATGTTAAAAAATATAAAGCATTTCTTTCAAGGTATAATTATTATTATTTTTTTAAATATCTTACATTTTTTAATAAAGGGAGTAAAAAATAAAAATAAAGAAGTGTGTTAGGAAATAAATAAAAGGTTTGAATTTTATATTTTATCCTAAAGTTTGAATTTCTATAAATTAAAATTAAAATGTTAATGGATTCAAGGAATGAAGGGTGCTAGGGGAGGGTCCTCCCCTTCCCTCTTGCGATTTGAATTGTTTAAATTTAATTTAAATAATTTAAGTTTATAAGTTTTTTTATTTTTATTTATTATAAATTATTAATAAATTTGCTATATTATTGTTTTAAATAATTTAAATTTAATATAGATGGTTCAAATTTAATATTAAAAATAAAAATAATCTTCTAACATGTATTTTTTGAAAATATTTTTTAAAAGAATTGTAAGTTAAAGATTTTAAATATGAATTGGTCAAAGTATTTTTGTATAATTAATTTATAAAAATTATAAAATATCGACGCCTTGATCAAAATAAAAAACTAGATCGATCCCGCGCTCACTTTTCGTAGGTCTTGCCTTGCCACGAGGGGATCTGTGGCTCCTGCGCCATGAACATCGACGGTTGCAAGGACTTAGCTTTGCTTGACTAAGATACCTCCTGGAAATCCCTCCACGACTACTCCACTACCCCATATGTTTGTGATCAAGGATCTGGTGGTGGATATGACCAATTTCTACAATCAATACAAGAGTGTTGAACCGTGGCTGAAGAGGAAGAACTCACCTCCCGTGCCAGAGCAAAAAAGACAGGGCTAAGCTTGATGGGATGTACGAGTGCATATTGTGCGCATGCTGTAGCACATCATGCCCCAGTTACTGGTGGAATCCTGAGTCCTATCTCGGTCCCGCCGCTTTACTCCAGGCTAACAGGTAACGGCTGCTTTAACGCTTTGACCATTCTTAAGTCAACGGGCACGCAATGTGGCTATGCTATAATCGCTTTAAGTCTATAAGCGACGCGGTATACTATTTGTTCTATCCCATGAATTGTCTGTTCCATGTTATATGGATTTTATTGTGTTGTTTACGAGCTTGACTTTAGGTTGCTTGATGTATGCTGCTAGTCGAGGTTCTCATTGGTCAAGTGCGCACGTTAAGACGGCGAGAAAGAACATATCTTGAGCTCAGTTCTCTGTCATATCTGTAGGAAAGAACTGGAGACTTTGTTTTACTTTATCATAAGCGGAATCGTGGATTCAAAGAATAGGCTTTTACCGAGTCCCGTTGGTAAATTGATACTCTTGCAGATTTCGTTTTGGTTCTATATTTTCGTAACGTATTTCTTCCTTTGTTTTTTATGAAAAAGTTTTTGTTATATTTGCTATAGTCCTGACCAGCGCATGAAAAGCCTCTTATTTCTTGAAGAAACTGAAGGAGACAAATAAAATGGGGCAGGATTCTCTGCCTTATGAGTTCTCATCTTTGAGCAAGTCAGAAAGTGGTCTTTTTTTTACCCTTGCAAAAACTTAGTCTCTACTCTTGTGTATCTTTAATTCTGATTTTAATTATCTGGCCTATTCCGTAAAGTAGACAATTGCCCTGCTTTAACATGCATCTTGATAGTAGCTCTTCTTTTCTTGCTGGCATTGTCAGTCTGTACTCTATAATGTTTGGATTTGGATTTGGATTCTGGAGGTTAAAGTTTGGCAAATAATTCGTCGAATTTATTGCATGTTTATGTAAGATTTAGTGTTTAGCACTTCGCAGAAAAACTTGAAGCTGCTGTTATTTCAGGCATTTGAGGTCATACATATAATTCACATAGTTGTACACAAGTTTATTTTCCTATGTTTTTTGTTCCCTTTTTTTTAACTTTTTATCGCATTTATCTTGAATCCATGCTGATTCACTGCGTGCGTATTTGAGATAAAACTATATACAACTTTTGGATCTGGTACCTCTGTCCCAAGCGTACTTCATAATCGAATCGCATCTCATTCTTACCTTCAGGTTTTATATGGATTCTATGTCTAGTTGATCCAAATTGGAAGACACTATACTTGATCCCTCTCTTGTTTCAGAAGTTATACTTATACTCAGCTCTTCTGAATTTAGTACAGATTGCCAAAACTCCCTGCTAGTGAAGTTAACATCCGTGAAATGTAAGATTTTGATTTAAAAAATCTGCCAGAAAAACAAATAAACCAACGTTAAGCTCCCATAGGAGACTATTTTTTAAGGACGTGACTGTACAGACGGTAAATAACTATACTTCTTCGAAGGAATAAATATTATGCATAGCCGTATAGTTTAACTTGATGGACTGAAATTGAACCGAAAGAAGAGTTTTTACAATATACATATATATATAATCAGAACGTTGCGTATAGTTTTGAACAAGAGACGTCAGTTAGTTTAGTCGGATTTTAGCAAAGATGGACATGATTAATTTTTATTTGTTAAATTTGTTAGAGGGGAATATTTTTTGTTTCTATTTTGGTTGAGTGGTTGTCAAGAGCGACATATGGCTTGTGATGCCACCGCAGGTGGATAAGTGACAGTCATGAAGAGTTCACACAGGAGCGATTGGAGGCCATTAACGATGAATCCAAGCTGTACCGATGTCGTAGCTTTTTTTTTTTTGGATAATAAAGAGGGCTAAGCCCAATTACAAAAAGAAACTAAACAGAGTTTGGGGATTTAGTTCCATAACCTCCCTATGCACAATGTCCTTTAGGAAAAAAGGAATATAATTGAAAAACTCGGATTTGTTTATTCCTCTTTTTGCCAACATATCCGCAACAAGAAAATGTAAAGATGTCATACCATATTCAACTGCGCTCGTGCCTGCCCAAAGGGCTTGAATCCAGGAAAGCAAATTCAAAACATCAAGAAGCTCAAGTTGGGAGTTGGTAAAGCGCGAGTTTCTACTGTCTGATTCATCATGGTTTGCGCAATTAAATCATTTACTCGTGGAACTTGCTTCCCCCTGAATGTGGTGATAACCCCGGCTGACGATCGGAATAAATCTGCAAATGTTTTGAAATAACCATGCATTCGACCCAATGCAACCCACCATTCGATTATTGTTGGCTGGATAACTACCCTGCATCATACACTTGACAGTCTTACAGTGTTTCCATGCGGCCACCTGATGGGGAAATGACTTTTTTTAATATATATTATATATATATATAAACTGATGTGTGTGTGAGTAATATTTATATCATTATTTTTCATTTATTTCGCTTCTTAGTTTATTTCATTTTATGGGGCCATGTAATTTGCCTGAGTTGGATGTGAATCTGTTTATAGGTCAAGATGACGAGTCGGCCACCATCATATTGTTGGAAACTAATACAAGCTACAAGGGTGGGGATTGACTGTAGAGAGGACTTGAGAGCTGTGCTTTTTGATCAGTAGTTCCCGTGTAATTTACAAGGAGTCCCCTCCTCCCCTTCCCTCTTGTCGGCCCAGCTTCAATTCTGTGTTGTTCGGCCTGGCTCAATTGAAGCTTGCTTTTTGTGGATTTTAAATGCACACTTTCTAGTTTCTTTGAACGTTGTATCTTCCTCCTTCTACATAGGCTTGAAAGGAATCGAGGATGAGGGGATGGCTGATGCCACTCAGCGGCTTTGGGTTCAGAAACTCAAGGAGCATTTTTTTTTAAAAAAAATATTGAATGAAAAATCGAAATCATCTCATTCTCAAGTGTTATATATTATATATGTGTGTGTGTATGTATGTATGTATAAGAAACCATATTAATTACAAAAACTAACAACGATGTCTGCAAGAACAGAAGCAAATCACCCGTGTTCATTCTCCATCTCCAAATACATTGAGGAGATAGATAGAATCATATCTTTTGGCCGAGAAGAAACAGATGAAAGACAGAATCATCTCAACTGAAACCTTTGAAAGCCGTCCAAGTGGATAAAAGAGATACGCTGTCCCTTTCTGCAGACAGAATTCAGATCTAATGAGTGAAATGTGAATTTAAGAAAAGAAAAACAGAGCAGTGACTTGGTGTGATATGCTACCGATAAACTCAAGGACTATCGGACGGTGATGACAATGGTGTCGCTTCCTCAAATCCTCATGATTTCTTTGAAAGACAAAGAGTATGATTTGGCTATGTAAGAGTAGATTATGACGTGCTACATATCCAAGATGGAGTGCACTTTATGTTTCCAATCCGTTGAAGGTCCCCACTCCCCACGCCACCAGGCTCGACCAGAGTTGGGATATTTTGATTTTAAAAATGAGAAAATGAAGTGGGCTAATTTTAGCGGCTGACGAACAAATACCTGTCTTTCAGATAGGAAGGATGAGGATTTATTTAAAATTATAAATTTTCATGATAATCCAACCTAATAAACTTTCAAGTGGTGCGTCCCCACCCCTGGCTTAGCCGTGATAGCTGAAATCAGGGTACGGGAGAGAAGATGGAAGGGTTTCATGGAAGTCGGCGATACTGGAAGGAG